AAAATGCATCCTCATTCATCCTGATTCTTTTTGTGAAATCTACGTCTTTTAGTATCAAACTACGTGTTGTGGTCTTTTTTTTGTATTGCATTATGACATTTTGTGAAAAATCTGTACATGATGGAGAAAAACGCATATCATTTTTGTATTCAGCATACAGGAATCACTGTAGAACATGTAAACATTTCAAGACAATAAAATCATCACAGGCCTGTGTAATTCATCTTCTAAGTCATGTCTAATCAAAACACAACTTCATCTTTATGACCCTTATCACAGTTCAGTTTGCTTCCAATACATTTATAAACAAATACTTCAGTATTAAAATTTATGTTTGTTTGATTTAAACATTTACCTGATTAACCAGAGCATAGTTGGGCTCATCAATTTTGTAAATAATTATTACCCTGAGTTAGCACAGGCTCAGAGGCATTGCAAATTATTACCTTCCCAAGCTTATTTTGGTGCCTCTATCAATAATTTTCTGATCCAAATATATTCATTTGATAGTGGGAAGAGCTTAGAAAGAGAACTGTGACAAATTATGTTCTCTTGCTCATTGTTTGCATCAGTTGCTATAAAGACTTCATGATGTGACGTTATGCTCATTTTTCTTTGCATCAGTGAATTATAAATTTCAAAATATAAAATAAACTCAGTACTTTTATTATTGATGAAACTGGCAGTGACTCTGAAGAAAGAATGTCAGAATTGACAAGTTCAGAATCAGATAGCAACAGCTTGAATTTGTCATACTTAAAAGTTTCGTGCAAAGAATAAACAATGCCACCCCTCATTCCTGCTACACCATGTATGCTTTTTACTGGTAAGTCTGAGATACATCATACATTTGATCCAAATGACAATAATAGTTTGCAATTTTTCAGCTATTTTTTTTTTTATGATGAACCTATCCAATTGGTAACTACTGAAACAAACAGATATGCACAACAATGTTTGAATAGTGCACCTAGGCTACACAGTACTAACAAAAACAAATGGCATCCCACTACTAGTGACCAAATTCATATTATTTTGATTGTTATTATTATTTCACAGAGTATAGTAAGGAAGTCTGATCATTACAACACCTTTTTACTGGAAAGAAATGGTACACAAAAGATTTTATAAACTCAAACAATATTTACATTTTTCAAACAATGAACACTATGACCCACAAACCCACTCAAACCCTAAACTGAACAAAATATGGTCTGTTTTCATAACCCTGTCAGAGAAGTTTGCAAATTTGTTCACACCTGAAAGAGACATCACTATAGATGAGTCTTTTGCTTTATAAATGAAGACTTGGTTGGGTTAAATATACTCCAATGACAAGAGCAAGATTTGGCATAAGGACCTGTATACTATATGAATCTAAAAGCAGATATGTGCAGTCATTTATAAGATAAACAGGAAAAAGTGCAACCCTTGATGATGAATATTAAGATTTCCAGTGTCATCACAAGTGGTTATGACACTTGTAAAGCCTTTATTGAACAAAGGATACTGCTTGAAAATGGATAGTTTTTACACAACTAGCCGATCTGCTAATTTCAAATAAAACAGATTCTTTTGGAACAGTAAACTTTTCAATGAAAGACATGCCTGAGGGCTTGAAAACCAACAAAGTGGAGAAATTATAGCCTACACAAGAGACAAAGTTGTTGCTATGCACTGGAAAGATAAGAAAGATGTATCATTTCTCTCCACCATACATAATACAGAAATGGTTGATGTGGAAAAAGAAAGAGGTGAAACAAAAAAAAGCCTAAAACAGTAATTGGCTATAATCATACAATGAGAGGAGTTGACAGAGTTGACCAACACGTGTCAGATATACCAGATTACAAAAAAAAGGGGCAAGAAATACTGCAAGAAAATGTTTTTTCATCTTGTAGATTTAGCACTGTGGAATTCATACATCACTTATACTAAAACAGGAGATACAAAATCACCATCAGGATACAGAATGCTTGTCATTGAGAAGATGACTGAGAAATATCAAAACACTAGAATGGCCTAGAAAGCTAGGCAGCCAACTACATCCCAAACTCCTTTTCATCTGACAGGAAGACATTTTCCTGATCTCATCTCGCCAATAGAGAAAAAAAGCAAACCCAACAAGACGATGTGCAGTCATGCGCATGATATTAATAGGAAGAAAATATGTCGAGAAACCAAGTACTACTGCCCATACTGCAACATGTCACTCTGTGGTGTAGGATGCTTCAAGATATATGACACAGAAACAAACATATAATGTTCTTAGTCAAAATGTTTAAAACATATGTCTTTATTTTGTAAATAGCCATGTATTAGTATATATACTATAGAAAACAAAAGCTCCTGTTTGGTTGTAATTGTGTTTCATACACAAGTACACTCAGTTTAGTTATTAATCATTTTTTGAAGCTATATTTTTTTAAATAAATTTTTATAAAATTTTTTATGCCTTTCATATTCCCTATTCATTAATTTTTTGGAACTGCAATAAAAATACATTTTTTGAACACATTTCTTGGAAAATTGTAACAGGCAAGCAGTTAATAAAATCACATCAGATTACAAAAGAATATTGTTATTTTCTAGTTAGTTTCCAACCCAAAAAATTAATCTTCACTAACATAACCAATGTTCAATTTGAATTATAACAATATTGGTGAAAACTAAGGCACTGTTGGAGTTGTTTAAAAAATTAACCTTAATTCAATCAAATCACATAACACAATTCAAACAAATTCTCTGTGACTTAATCGAAAAACTATAAATATTTTCTTTTTCTTTAAGAATACATATATATTTTATTCAATTTTTAAAAACTGATTCTGATTAAGCTACATAATCACTGTGTATATGCATGTGTACACTTACACATATATTTGTTTTTACAATTTTACAACAGTATATTAAGTTAACTTAAAAACAATAATTTGTGAAAACTTACACTTCCTGCAAATATTCTCAGATCCAAACATAATGTATACATAATTGGCAAGGCCCAGTTCTCATCTTTCTGACCCTGAAGAATTTTATTAAAGGCTTTGAGGATGATTAAGGAATTTGCATAATACACTAGCTGACTAAGACATTTTAACCTTTTCTTTATCCAGTCAGAATGAATTATTTGGCTATTATGATAAAACCTTAAGTTAAACAATTAACTTTTTAGAACATTGATTTAACCATTAAATCACACATTTGAAATTACCCAGAAAAATATTTAGAAATTAAAATATATTTGGATGTAACATTGGCTTAGAATTATAAGATTTGTAGATTTAATTTCCCATTATCTAAAATAGCTTGTTCTATGGTGGCTCAGTGGTAAGTCTAAGGACTTGTAATGCTAAAAATCAGTTTTTGATACCCGAAGTGCAGCCTACTGTGCAGCTTCAAACTTAACAACAAACAAACCAAATCAGTTTATTTTTCCATTAGGAAAATTAATGTCTGCTCATCTTGCAACATCAGTCAGTGGGAAAACAGTATATCAAACAAGACATGAAGTATGATACCTACACTTCTAGTAAGAGCTTCAAATATACTCCCTTACTTTCATAGATGCAAATGAACGTGATGTGTGAAATTAGTGTTGTATTCATAAATTTGAATACATTTCAAAGTACATAACTAACACAACTATATGTAAGTACAATATTACTTATATATATATATCATTATACATTCTCATTAAGTTTTAGTTCTTATTAACACAACCATGACTACTAGTGTAAAGCCTCATTATTGAATGTATCGTTATCTGAAGTAATTTTTAACACTCATCATACGAGCCAGGATATCATTTTATTGGTGACAAAAAAAAATCAAGTCATTCCGGTATTGCCTCTTTCATCATATAAATTGTAAAAAAAATTTGACTTGAAAAAGAGACATCAATTTAGCCTCCTTTTAACTTTTGGGAGCATCAGGAACACTTTGAGCCTAAGTCCTCAAGCATCAAACATTTAAATTGGTTGAACAATCAAATTATTTTTTCATAGAAACATACATAAATGTATGTAACGAGTCATTTAAGGTGTAAATATAAGGTTAAACATTGCAGTGAATGTACCAGATATAGATGTGTTTGAGTATGTAATGGACTTACTGCATGAAAAGTATTAGTTTTTATGTAGAGTTGATGAATGATGAAAACAACAATAAAAATATCCAGCTCATGGAAGGAGCTCAGAACAGTTCCAAAATTATCATGACACTGAACAAACTAGCTCTAATTTGTGGTAGTTCTAATGCATAAAATAATGAATAAGATAAAGAAACATATTGTGGGAAATTTTAATGTTTCTTTCAATGGAAAAAAGATGTACAAATAATTTAACAAGTGAAACATTTGGCTGACCATGAAGTTTGACTTTCTGGAGTAAGAAAAAAAGGCAAGAATTACATTATTTTGTATTGCAGCTTTGATAAAAATAAGTCAGCTCGCTATATCTATAGACCCTGGTAAACTTGATTCTCAAGTTTCAGAACCAGCAATACTATGCAATTTGGTACAAGCACAGGAAAACTTAACACAGAAATCAATTCGAAGAAAGGTATTGTTGGCTTCATTGTACACATCTTTACCTACAATTGGCATTTCAGAATTGTGTAATATTTGAAATAAGGCAGTTTGAGAGCTCCTGGAGACGTTTTGATTTGATGGTTGGTAATAAGCTGGTTCATACTATTAGAACTGTCCATCAATACAAAGAACATCTGGTGGAAAGTGGTGTGAAGTTTGTTGCATCTCCTTGAAATATTCAAATGTTATTGTGGAGCATAAAGACTGTAAATCTTAATGGTGAGGAGAAACACCCACTATGGTTTACATGAAAGAAAAAACTGAAGTACATGATCAGAACTACCTCACTGAATGTTCAAAAAGATCAGATTATATAGGTTATTCATCATTTATGAAAACTGCAAAACCACTGACAAATTACATATGAAAGTAAGAAAGGCTTTCCACTGTGCATCAGGTATTCTTCTTCCGTACAATAATTTAGCTATACCTGATAGAGTACATGGGTCTATTTGCAACCCTCAAGTAATGAATGAATGCTGGAAATGTCTTGGAAAAATCTGAGTGTTTTCTGAAGATGACATATATTGCCAGTCATAAAATTCATATCACTCAACAATATAAAGGGAATGCAACAAGCGATTGGGTGCAAATTGTGTCAACTGCCTTTTGAAGAGCTTGAATATTTGAAGACCCAAACAGATGAAGAACATAATGACTTAATGAACATTTCAGGTACAAGCTCAAGCTGCATATCGCCTTCAAGTAATGAATCAATACCTTTGAATCAAGACACTGGTGTACAGTATATAGAGTTCTAAAGCTCTGATTGTATTGCAATATAAGACTATCAAACATTATGGTAAAAAAGGCTTGTCTTGGCATGGCACCATGGTGTATATGCACAATGATGTGAATACAGATACTTTTCAAACAAGTTATTATGATCATAATTCATTCGGGGATTCTAAGCATGACTGGATGTTTCCATATTTGAATGCATCCTTTCCCAACTGAAGGAGGATAATCCTCACATTCCTACCATTCATGTCCAATTGGACAATACCAAATGCTATCAGAATGGAAGACTTTTACATGGAACATATCTGATAGCCAAAGAATTGGGAATACAGATACGATCATTTGTTCACATCAAGGCCAAGGATGGAAAAGGATCAACTGATGCGCACTTTTCTGTAGTAATGCAACACATCATGGAATATTTGAATAAGGGCAGTAACTCTATATCCCCTAAAGAATTGTTTTATGCATTTAACACAAATGGAGAACTAAATAACACAGTTGTTTCCATGCTAAATGTGGATCAATCAAAAGTAAATGAGCTGGTTACTTTGCACGAAGTAGACTTCAAATTTTTTGACAGTGTGCCAAAAATTAACGAGGCCATCTTTTCATCAATTAGTATTGAGGTATTTGGGTATTCGTGTATGTACTTCAAGAAAATTGATATGGGAGACAGTGTGCCTGCTTATGCAGAAACAAAGTAAACCTGCTGGTGAAACATAAATGGAAGACCATGAAATGAGGTCCAAGCAGAGTGATATTGACACTGATGAGGATGCACTACCCGAAGAAGATGGTAATGTTGAAGCTTAAGAATCAGTGATCAATGAAGTAAACAAATATGAAGCAATCACTGAAAATAAAATTACAAGGAGTATTACTGACTATAGCTTTATTAGCAGTCAAATTAATTGGAAAGTTTCAAGGAAAGACCCAAAAACAGAAGCAGCATCAAGGTGGAATGCTATTCCTTTAGATTGTTTTGCTCAGGAGGTTGAGAATGAAAATATTTGCAATGCATATGTGTTGACCTGCAATATATCAGCATGATATTGTGATGTGCAGTACCCAATATGCAATTGATCTGATCGATTCAGGTGGCCTTTCTTGATCATCATAAATCTTCTAATGTATATGGCAACAAGCCAAAGTCATATTCTGTTGAATGACAAGACAATATTTCAGAATATGTGCCTTAACCTTTCAAAACTGTTTGAGCTCTGAGGCCAGCAGATTTGTACATGATGTTGTGGAAATGTATAAACAAGATCTTGAAGATAGGCACAGCAAAATGATCCCTGGAAGAATGAGGGGGTGCTAATCCAAAGGTATCTGAATTGATTTCACATTCCTTCCAAAACCGAACTTTGACAGTACCAGAAGACTAAAAATGTGTCAAGTTAGTGAAGAAACGGGATTGTAAGGAAATATTTGGATGTTACCATATGCTTATTTGTTGAGTACTAAGGTAACTTCACGGCCACTGAATTGACGAAGGTTTTCAAAATGTAGTGCAGTCACTCTGTCAATGATCCAAATTTTCCAACTGATAAACAGATTGAAGCAAAGATGACTGTGATGAAGTAAAAGTTGAAAATCACTGGAAAGGTTTATACAGCATGATATTGGTCAGTAATTCTGTCTTTCTCTAAACAAATAATTGTAATTGATATTAGTTGGTTATTTTCATGACATTTCTTGATTTGATTGTAATTTTGATTATTGGATAGTTAGAATAAAAAAACAATAACTGCAAGTATTACTTGGTTATTTTTATGACATTAATCAATCTATTCATAACTTTGATTAATTAATTATTTTACATGACACTAATTGATATAATAGATGCTCATGGGTAATTGATTATACTGATTAACTGAATTAGTTTCCCAATATTAATTTTGTATAGCCTTCATATCTTCATATTTCAATAAAATTTATAACACTAAAATATCTTTATGCTTGATATTCTGATATTTGTATGAAAGCCAAATTATAATATATACAAAATAAACATTTTGTATAAATTTTTTTTGCCTAACATTCATTAGAGTCTGAGTACAATAACTCAATGTTAAAGTATAATGACTATAGGAATCAATTATTCCTGTACATATTTTGAATAATCCAGCCATTGTTTAAGGAAGGGCTGACATGAAAGCAACCTTATGATGCAAAGAATGTTTACAGATTTTCTAATAAAATATTTTCCGAAAAGATAACAGTCTGAATAAAAAAAAAGTTAAATTCCAATTGAACAATACAAAAATTAAAACAAAAATAACTATTAATAATATAAGATCCTATTTTTAAGGATATTGCACAGTGACTGACTGATGCTTGTAGGCTTCAATGAAATCATGGTTGTTGACTGCTGAAATACACCTGAAAAAATGTAGAACAATATTCAAGTGTTTAGAAATAAATAACTAAAAGTGTTTAAAGAAAAGTTTTGGTGCATATTTTGATTTATAAAATTTATCTAATCAAATTGCAGTTTTTTATACTCCCCTGCAAAACCAAGAGATAGTTATGTTTCAACATTTTAAAATAACTTTCTAATGGCTTAACTTTGTCATTCATGACTGCCATAAAAACACAGTAATACACTTAACCATCTCTAAACCATATATTTTATAAAGTTTTAACTTCAATGAGAAGAAATGTTAACTTTAGAACTACAGTCCTTAAACATCATTACTTCCAGGCTAAGAAAAATATCTTTAAATCTATTTGTCCCCTTTGCACATTAAAATTCAAGAAATACTTGTCCCTTTCATAATTTTACTTGTCCCACTAAAATCAACAGATATAAAGATATTTTTGCAAATTGATTTTAGCTGTGTAAAATTTGTACAAATTGTATATTAACTTTCCTGTTACCTGCAAATTAAAAAAAAAAGGCAAAATATATTTATGTGTATTGTGGATCAAAAAGTTATAAATTTGTATCCTTCCAATTTTAACTTTATTTATTAACATTTTTATCTTTTTGATTTTCTTTTACTATGTATTTACCAATTGAAGTAACTGGGTAACCCAATCAAAATCTCATAAATCTTGCAAACAATTCCTTATCATCAATGTCATTTTCCCAACATACTACAGGTCACTGTGCTTGCAAGCATTAATTACAGTTATATAACTTCTTGAAGTTCAGAAATACTTCTAGAGCATTCAAAAGAAAATAATATAACAGAATTTACTATCAGTAAAAAAAAGTCATAAAAAACAGCTCCCTAATTACCTCAGAAGTATTTTTTTAAATCACTTTATTCAACCTTTAAGTGTGAATTTACATACCTCTCCTGAAAAACTTGTGACTGTAAAAAACTTTTCTTACGAATGATTGGCAAGAAGTTCACATGAGAAAACCAACTTTCAAATCCACTTATACCCATCCAAGAAAGATGGTTGGGAACCTTTTTTGACCCTGAGTTTAAACATTCTAAAGCAAGTTCAATAGTCTAAGTGTTTAAATAGTTACCTTTATAACCACAAATGTATTTTTCAAATACAAGCCTACCACAATAATGAAATATCAGCATTGTTAGAGTATAAAAAGAAAAGCAAGTAAATGAATATGACCAACATATTAATCAAATTAGCATCTTGAATGAGTTTGTACTTTGTCAAAATAATGCTTCAGTAATACAAGATTTGTTAAACAGATTTTTATTTTGTGATAAAAGACAGAATCCCATCTTTAGACCCACAAAAGAAAAGATTTCATTCATAGACAATACAAATGAACTCCATAAACAAACAAAAGTATCTATTCAAATCTCACTGTGGTAACAAGAAAAAGAGCAACTACAATCCAACAGTTTGTAAGGCTTATTAAAGTTACTTAAGAGAATCCTGTATTTAAGTAACCTCGAGGTATTAGATAATATGAAAAAAAATATGTACACGATTGTAGAATTATACCAAAATTTGAATAACAGCACAGAATTATAAGCTACATAACTAAACAATTTACTCATCCCTGGTAAAAAATGTACATGTTTATAAACTATAAAATAAAGGGTTTAAAAAGACATAGTATTTGTAAAGTAGCATAATACCTGTACTTAATCTAGATGAGATTACTTCTGTCAAGATGAAGTACATTATATGAATATCTTGAATTTTTTTCTAAGTGTTTTACTACATAAACTTTTGTTAGATTTTGTTGCAGTGCTTAAAATCTGAGAATCTATAATACCCAAAAACTTAGTAATATCATGACTGTATTCAAAATTCATAAGAATTATTGATACTGCAAAAAAGTCTGTGTAAATATTTATGTTTCTGCACATAGGATTAAAAAGTTGTGCAGAGTAATTATTTTTTATAGAAATTTCAACAATTTAGACAATAAATATATAAAATACATGCAAATTTTTATCTGTTTTACTAATTATAATCAAACAACACAATATAAAACCTGACAAAATGTGAAATGTTATATTTACTTTATCTCTCTACAACATAAATTCATAAAATATACAGAATAAATAGTCATAGGTACAATCAAAGCTGAAAAGTTTAAAAGATGATGAAAGCAATTCATGCAAAAGCCCTTAGCATTAGAAGGTACCACACATTCTCGATACTTACTTTACCCCTAAATGAATATCTAAATAAGAGACGCACAAATCATACAATAGACTGCAAAAATTGTGCACAAGAAAGAAAAGAAACTTATAATCATTCTAATAGCCTAGAGAAAAAACATAAACCTCAAACACAAAAGAATCCTAATCCTATATCAAAAGAACATAAAAGGAATGAGAGGAAATTTTGAGTAAGTGACATGCATTTAATTCTCTGGCCTCTCTTAAAATGGTTTAACTCAGCCATAAAAATCAGAAGAGGGAGTTCTACTCAGAAACATCAGTCATTACAGACTAATAAAGTAATATGAGAAGAGAGTTCAACCAGAGGCAACTTAAAGAGTATAAAAAATTCTTTTGTCCCAGAGATCTTCCCTGAGCAATTTCATCAAAATCTGACAGCTCAAATTGGACTCACAAAGTCACAATGTGATGTAAGAGATGATAAAAAAATAATAATAAATACTTAATTCTTCAAGATTGTATAATAAGACATAATGTTTACCAAAACTATATTTACAATAATATTTATATGTTAGGTTAAATTGTTTCTTTCTCTATCTTTTTTTTAACTATCAAAGAAATTAAAAGCCCTTTTGTGGTTGACACATGCTGTTTATGAACAAAAATGAGTAATTTCAAAATATCTACAAATATCTATAGTTTAACCAAAACAGTTTAGAAAATCAATATATAAATTATAAGCAGTACTGCATACTTTAGATGACCAATGACCACATCATCCCATGGAGGACAAATGACTCTCTGAACCACTGATTCTGGATCATGTAGTTGTAATCTAGGACTGGCAATGTGGGGATGGCTACATGACAGCAATTCCTATTTTAGAATAAGCAAATACTCTGTACAATAATGAAGACAGGAATGCCCATAAAAATACCTTTAGTTTTGACTTAAAAACTATATAATAAGCAAAATAAAAGCCCATTTTTGTATCATAAGTTTTCTTAGTATATTAAATGTAGTAGTAGTAAACTTTTAAATCTTTAGAAATATGGTGTCTTCAAATTAACAAGGCTACTACTTTTTAATAACATTAACTATGGAATTGTCATTTACATTAGTTTTTGTTAATCCACCTTATTAAATTACTTCCCTTAGAAAAAACTCAAGATACTCACAGCTGCCATATATCCTCTAGCTGATTGGATTGCTTCATCAAACTATATAGTATATCAATTAAAAAACATGTAATTACATTCAAATATTAAATTATAAATTTACAGTAAAATATACACTTAACTTTAAATTTATCTAGCACAATTCTCTCACCCACATTATACATTATGAATAAGATAAGTGAAATTATGTTATAAAATTAATCAAAGTTTGATGCTGTTTCACTTTCAGCGTCCACTGTGATTGAGTGCGAGAGAGCATATTGTTATTCCAATAATAAAATTTGTTGTAAAACCTCAGCATGTAACTGACATTGATGCTAGGCAAGAATTTAAATTGTATGTTAAGAAAGTTAATAATGCTGTTGATGTCAAGTTACATGTAAAATTGTAAGCTAGTAAAAATGAAAAGTAAGAAAAACTGAGAACGTAAATTTCGATCCCATCAACCAAGCCTAATGAATTTCAAATATTGTCATCTCGGCACTAACGTCAGTACTTCATCAGTTATTTATATATATAATTATACGAAAAATTGAATTTAAACATACCTGATGCAAATACTGATTTACACTGAAATGTGCCATGTTTTAAATAGCGCCACCTGTTAATTGTTGACTGAATATAGTTCACCTCTTATTGACTCAACTTTTCACTATTTTATGTTTTTTTATCTGAAACTTATAATTGTCACTTTGTTCATAAAATCTAAATCTTAATAAAGCTTCAAAATAGTCTAGCATCATTATTTCAATAATAACGTTTTAACAGACTTACAGCAAAAATAAAACTTATCTAGCGTCATTATAAAACACTTTTTCTACAGTTAAGTATGGAAACAAACCCACAATTTATACAACATTCCTGCCAAACTTGAACACATTTTGTAAAAAAAGTAAAAGAAAAAATGCACAAGATATTTCAGTTTATTAGAATGTAATTATGAAGGGGAACTGTCAGAATGTTAAAGTAAATACTCTTTAAAAAATCATCATAGTATATCACAGTATAGCCACCTAGTCACAGGATATTGTATGGTGCAAGTACTACATCTTACTGTTACGAAAGCAGAAGTCACGTGACTCTGGTAACATGTCATGAGATTCTAGAACAGGGGTCACCAAACTACGGCCAGCGGGCCGAATCCGGCCCGCCACTGCACTGTGTCACAAGTGAGCTAAAATATAATTATCTATATAGAAATATCATAAATTGTAGATAAACTTACTATGTAAAAAAAATAAAAAATAAGTGTAAGTAAAAATGTCCAAATTTGTCCAATCTAATTTTTGCATCTGACAGTAATATAAGTTTTAGAAAAATCAGAGAAATAAAAAATTCGTAACTATTTGCAACTTTGGATATCGGAGCGCTTTTTGTGTAAGTACCTGAAATGAGAGTTCATTCCTGCAGTCACCTCTGCGTGCATTGTTGTAAGATGATACAATGCTTACAGGCAGTTGATACAAGTAGTGTGACGAGTGTGCGCGTGTTTACACAACTTTGTGATAGAGAAGACATGTGCGTGTATTGTGTGTGCTTCTACATATATTTGTGTGTTGTACATATGTGTTTATATATTTATATTTAAATCTGGAACACTGGTTCAATACACGGATTAAACCCGAACAGGTGACTTTGGATATCATAGTGCTTTTTTGTTTAAGTACCTGCAATTAAGTTTCCAAGAAAAGAAGGTTTTGTCATCATC